TGCCGGGCCTTCCCGTTCTGATCTCTTGGATCAGAACTCGGAACGAAGGAGGAACTGCCTGCCCCGGTGAGAGACGCGGTTTTGTTTAGTTCTGACTCATTGTCTGTAAGCGTCGGTGGCTGGGAATCCGATCACCTTCCACCTGCGGCTGAGATGCTGCAAACACACAGAGAAAGCGCCTCCCTCAGGGCCCCGCCCCGTTGGTTCTCCGCCGGCTCCAGGGACGGACTGCAGCTCTGCCGGGAGGAAGGGCCGCCGTGGCCTGGGAGGCCTTCCCCGGGGCCTTGGCTTCCGGGGTGCTCGCCCCAAAACTGCTCATGAGGGGGCCTCAGTCACTTGTGTGAAATACCCAGGCCCGGGCCCCGCCGCACCCCACCTCACCCCACCTCACCCCACCAATTCAGGGGGAGCCTGGGGTGAGACTCCGGGGAAGGAATTTTTCAAGGGCTCCGGTGACTTCAATGCCTCCCCGAGCTGAGAACCACTGGCAACTGGGTCAGCCATGAAGCCGCAGACGCCCAGCCCGGCTGCATGGCTTGTCCCAGCCAACACTGCCATCAGGGGACCCGGGACAACAGTGTTCTTTCTGTCATATTCCTTTTGCTGCTTAAAAACATTTTTTTACAAAGTAATGCATATACTATTTAGAAAACTTATAAACTATAGAAAGGGATAAAGAAGAAAATTAGGTCACCTGTAAACCCACATCACCCAGAGTTAAGCACTGTTAACATTCTGGCTTCCCTTTTCATCTATTTTTCACATATTTCATTTACAAAAATATCATGCAGACTATACAGCTTCTTGCCTTCTTTTCACTCCTTTGCCACCTGAATGGCGGCACAGGCTTCTGACACACGGCTGGACAAAGTGTGAGCTGGTGACATCTCGAGCAGGCCATCTGGCAGTGAGTATCAAGGGTTTTTTTAAATGACTGCCCTTCAGTTCACTACTGCCTTTTCAGGAATCTGTCTTCAAAGTATGATCAGATGCATGCAAAAATTTATTTACAGAGACTTTCCTTTTAGTGTTGCTTATAAGAGCCAAAATCATCAACCTCATAAATGTATACAAATTATAGGGATAGTTGAATAAATGGTGGTTATTCACAAACTAGCATACTCTGTTGTCATTAAAAATCATGTTTTCAGTGGAGAGGGTATAGCTCAAGTGGCAGAGCACATGCTTAGCATGCATCAGGTCCTGGGTTCAATTCCCAGTACCTTCTGTGGAAATAAATAAATCTAATTACCTACTCCCCCCCCCAAAAAAAAGCAAAAGAAAAAAATCACATTTTCAAAGAACATGCACTGACTATGATAATCTGATCATCTTTCTTTCCCACAGTCCCCTCCACACCCTGGGACATTGGTTTTCAGCACATCTTACAAGATCCTGCCTCTGATTCTACTGTAAACCACTGGATGCTGCAGGGCCACTGATCACTCCCTTCCAGGTCACTTGGAGCATCATTTTCGGTCCCTGGCGTTCTGGCAGTTCACTCTTTTTATTGTTATTTATTATACACCACTTTTACTTGCCATCCGGTGTATGAGTGTGTATTACATCTGCTTGTGGGATTGTGTGTATATACGTGAGAAAGAGGCGACTCGAGATTATAAACTGCTTAAGGGCAGGGGCCACGATTTCCACATCTTCATTCTTTGCCAGCTTTTCAGTTTCAGCATATCGAAAACCTAATTCATCTTCCTCAAATCTGTTCTAGTTCTACTAGCAACTTTTTAAAACATTTTTTTACTTATTTTAATTTACTTATTATTGTGGGCTTTTTTTGTTTTTTGCAAGGGGAGGTAATTAGGTTTATTTATTTTTAATGGAGGTACTGGGGATTGAACCCAGGACCTCATGCATGCTAAGCATGTGCTCTACCACTTGAACTACACCCTTCCCCCTACAAGCAACTTTTTGAGTGCATAACTTCTACTTCTCCTTCCTGCATTACCAGTTCCCTTAGTGGCGTCACCTGAACAGATTCTCCTTTGGGACACTCAGATTCAAATTTTTGGAACCATTGGTCAGTCCCTAGATCTTAACATTGTTTTTTTTTTTCCCCAAGTCTTGGCCCGGGTCATTCCATCCCCAGTTCTGGCCCCCCAGGCAGCATCCCCATCACTTCCCTCCTGAACAACTCTAGCCCTCTGCTGGACCATCTGCTCACAGCCTCTGTTCCTTCAAACTAACCAATGTCAACCACTAATTTAAGTTTTTTTTATTCCATCACTTCTACTCAAAAGCCTTCAATGACCACTTTTTAATAGTCATTAGTAAATGAAGTGCTAACTTTTTATCTTGGCATGTGGGTCCCTCCTTAATTCAATCCCAATATATCCATCTCCCCGTTTTATATCACACAGCCCCCTGATTAATATCCCTGACTCCTACCAAACTGGTATGCGCACCAACCCCAGGGCACGTCCTGCAGTCTCATGACCTCTCTCCTTACTAGGTGCGTGATCTTGCATAATCTGCTCCACCTCTTTAATCTCTGCCCCTCATCAACAAAGTGGGATAAAACTAGTAATATCTGCTTCTAGGACTGTTGTGAGGACAAAACAGATGCACGAAGGCGACAACTGTCATTGATTTGCTCACCGTGTTGCACCTCGGTGGGGCCCAGAACAAGGGCATGTACCTGCCCCAGGTAGTGCCGGCTGAGGTGAATGAACGGGGCTGTGTGTTTCCAAGATGGCGCACTCACTTACCTGGCAGGTTGGTGCCATTGGCAGAAACGCAGCTGGAACGAGGGTCCTAGATCCTGAGTTGTCTTCCATTTGGACTTTCCATGTGGCTTCTTGGACTTCCTCACAGCATGCCTGCTGGGTTCTAAGAGAGAAGCAGCAGAAACTACCAGTCTTCTTAAAGGCCAGGCCCGGGACTCACTGGTACAACACAACTTCCACCATATTCAACTTGTCAAAGCAGTGACAGACCAGCCCAGACTCAAGGAGGTGAAGAAATAGACTTGGCCTCTCCAAGAGAATGGCCTGTGCACAGAAGGAAGGAAAGAATGAATGGGAACCGTCTTTTGAGACAAGTTACCACCAGACGGCCTTTGTGACCCCCATCTTGTCTACAGAGGAGATGCTCAACAGATATTTCACATCTCCTGAACTCTTAAGGCCTGTAACGTTCATGTGTCATACAACCGCTTGGATGGCTGTCCTCAGTTGTAAGCTGACTTTTCCCTTGCGCTGATTGGGTATTCCCACCAAACGGTAAGCTCTTTGAGGGCAAGGCTCCTAGCTGCAAGATGCATTTTTGTATTCCCCCCACAGAGATTTACACAGAGCAAGCCCCACAAATGTGTAGCGCTTGATTTATTTTCTTCTGACAGCCCCACCACTGGGAAGGGAACACAAGAGTTGCTTTCATTGAATTTCCGTACCACGCGAGGCTTGCTGGGCTCCTGGGAAAACTCAGAAACAGTCCCTTTGTTCTCCAGCTCTGCCCAGAGCGGGGGCCCAGAGCCCTCCAGCGGGGGAAGGCAGTGGAGAGGCCGCAGACGGGAGGACGTGCGGAGGAAATTCCATTCTAGACCCTCATTTCCGAAACTGCTCTGTGATTAGCCCTGCTTTGCACTGGGCCCCAGTCCAGAGGCAGAGAGAAGCCAGGCCCCAGGTCATAAAAGCACAGGCAAAATATAAACGCAGGCCCCCGTGACACCCCTGAACAGGAGGGTAAAGATTTGCTGTGGTGTTTGTTTATCTCACCAACTGAAGCCAATTATCCCAATTTTTTTTTTCAAGTTTACTAGTGATTGTATTTTAAGTTCATTTCTTCTCAAAAATGGGCCTCTACAACACAGTTTTTTTCTTTGTTTCCAAGGACTCAAGCCCAGTCTCTGAGGCAGGGAGGGTGGCCCTGAGGTCACATGTCAGGGGTCAGGGGCCCCTGATTGTTCCCAAATGCTTCTATGTAGCCATAGATTTGAACTTTGCATTGTTGCTGGGGCCCTGGGTGGGGGGGCCTGCACAGGGACTGGAGAGCCCGGGGAAGGCCTTCTCTGCAGCTCAAAGGCAGCCGCTTGAGCAACCGTTTCACTTGGCTTACGGTTTCAGTCCTTGAGTCAGTCTTGAACCCTGTCCCCAGGGGCTTCCATGGGTGGGAGATGGGGGGGTGCGGCTAGGGACAGACATTCATTTCATCCAAAGCCACCAGCCTTGCGGACTGACAGTGGCTTCAAAGCCAGAAAACTCTCAGGATTAGCATCCAAGGCTGAAAATTCCCTGGATTGCTTCTGGAAGCCCCAAATTTGCCCAGAATGCTGGTAAAGGATGCTCCTTGCCCGGAACCAACCAAGAGTTCCCCACCACCCAACCCACTCAGAACTCTGTAAAGCACAGCTGAATGCAGGGCACTGGGGTACAGAGATGAACCCCAAGCTCTGGCCCCACCCAAGGGTACTGTTTGCCTGATAGTGAGGGCTGAAGGGGAGGCAAAAGGTCCCAGACCACCCCTCAAAGCAACCGACTCGACTGGTACCTGAAAATCTGCCGCAAATATGACCTGCATTTATATTTATTGACATCAGGGTATGTTAAAATATATTGTTAAATGCAAAAAGCAAGCTACAGAGTAACATATAGTGTACATCCCCATCTACACACACATGATGCACACACACACACACACACACGGAAAATATGGGAGAATATACATCAAAATGTTGAAAGTAATATCCCTGACTGGTAGGATTTCAAGTGATTTTTTTCCTTTGATTTGTCTGCATTTTAGAATTTACTTACGCTAGACATATTCCTTAGGTCATTTTTTTCAAAGAGAAAAATCTACCATTGGTGAATCATTTCTATAGTTCGGTGTTTTTCAAAATGTAATTTAAAAACACCAACATCAGGCTGGGAAAGCTTGCTGAACAAGAGGATCCCTGAGGGTGACTCAGAACGATTAAGTCAGAATCTGGGGGTTGGGGAGTGGGGGGAGGGCAGCCTGAAAAAACTGCACTCTAAACACCCTCCCCAGGCAATTCCAAGGGAATGTCGGGCCCCTGTGTGATGTTTGCTCTCTTCAAAGGTCTGGCTCCGCTGTGAGACATCTCTGGCGGGACCACTCAGTCCCTCGGTGCTGGGCCTGCTATTCTTGAGGACCGTCTCCCCTCAGGACCTCCTTTCTCTAGGTCCCCAGGAGCCAGAAACCGCCTATCAACCCGGACAGCATAGCCCTGGCTCCACCCCTTCGCTCCACAAACAGCCCACAGGCATTGCTGCGCAGTGTTCCTTCCCTTCCCAGGGCCCTATTCTCTTCTGCTTCACCATACTTTTTTGGCTAGACGGACTGACTGCACAGGTTGATTTGCATAATTATATACGTCAAGTAAGACTAAAGCTGTAAACCAAATTAAGTCATGCCAGCGGGCAGCAGGCACAGTAGAAGAATCACAGGTTAAGTCCGACCCTGCTCCTTGCTAGACATGAGATCCCAGGTTCTTTAAGCTCTCAGAGCCTCAGTTTCCCCAACTGTACAATGGGGATAGTCATACCTACCTCTTAAGAGTTGTTGTTGCAAGACTTAAAACTAAGATCACGCATATAGGCAAAGCATGTAGCAGATGGTAGGTACCCGATAAAAGTCACTATTATCAATCTGAACCAAAGAACTCAAGAAGTCTGAGACAGCCGTTCTCAAACTCCCCAAGGAGTGCAGTAATAATGCACAGTATTAAGTCTTCCCCTCAGATACTCCAAATTAGTCCCTCCAAGATGAGGCCCCAGGAAACTGATACTTACAGGTACCCCAGGTGACTGATCACACATGGCAGGTGGTCCCTGATCACACTTCCAGGAACACTAGTCTAAGACTTTCATCAGCAAAACAGAAGCAACTGCAATTACTGAATTCCCCTACTTAGGCAGTTCACACTTAAGCAGTCAGTCATCCACCCTGCCCATCACAGGCTGGCTGAGGTCTGGCTAATCTAAGCTGCTCCTGGCTGGCATGGTTCCAAGCTGAGATCTGGGTCCCGGTCTGCTCCATATGTCTTTTATCTTTCTTGGACCAGCAGGTACCCAAATGTCAGGCCACATTTGCTAACATCCCATCGGCCAAACAAGCACGTGGCCACACCCAACATCAGTGTGGGAAGGGACAGATATAATATTCTGCCTCAGAGACACGAGTGAAAAATAAACACTTATTTCTCTAAACCTGATTGGTCTGCAGTCTCTTTCTCTACTGTCCATAAGCTAAGAATGGCTTTTACATTATTTAGGAGTTGTCAAGAAAAACAAAATAAATAGGAACAGAAACCCTTTGTGGTCCACGAAGCTTAAAATATTTACTACCTGGCGCTTTAAGGAAAAAGCTTGTTGATCTCGGCTGTAAGCCACCAAAATGTCAAGGGTTTTGTTGTTGTTACACAGCATAACTGCACAAACAGATGAGAGCAATTTCGTATTTTTGTTTTGTGTTTGTTTTTAAGTTAAGAAGGATTTAAAGATGTTTCAAAGCCACAGAGCAGGAACCATGGAGAAGGAGAGGGGACACCACTGAAAAAAAAACAAGAAAGGGAAGTTACTTAAAGGAGAGTGGCCTTGGAGGAGAAGGGACAGTTTTTCCTCTAAGGCTAGTGATCCTTTTCTCTAAGGATCGGGTCCAGTGGAGAAGAGGGTGGGGTGGGACGGCTGGGATCAGCTGTGATGCGCTTGTCAAGGAGAAAGAGAGGACAAGGCAGGATTGTCCGCGGGCAGGAATACGCAGCTATGGGGTATCAGGAAAAATCGTCAGGCTCAGAAATGCGCACAAAAGAATCCTGGTGTCCTGGTAGTAGAGCGCTGGGGGTTTCTAGCAGACCTTCCAGGAATTCTCTGACTCCACTGAGTGCGCACCTTGGATTGTTTTTGATCAACTAAGCAATTTAACAACTCTGTAGCGATAGAAGTTAGGTTGCAGGAAACTGACAACACAGTTTTTTTTCTGTCCATAAAAACACACAGATTCCTGTTAATGCAAATTCAAAGGAATTGTGCCCCGAGGAGAATAAAAATCTCTGTTAAGTCAAACTCTCATTTGAGCCAATTGAATATCTTACTGGTTTGTATGTTAACCAATGAGTTAAAACAAAGAAATCTTTGACTCTTATCTATTTCATGGTTATATGAAAGTCATAATTTTGCCATTTAAAAAAAAAGATCTTGTCTACTCTAAATAGAAAAGAAGCAGGATGCTACAAAAATGAGAAACTCATAACTGGAAAGGTGATAACTACCATGAATTGTAAATAGAATAAACACAAAACTGTAAAAGAAGACATCTAAATCATTAAGAGTGGGAGAGGGAAGCAAAGAAAGCCACTGTGGAAAACAGTATGGAGATTCCTCAAAAGACTAGAAATAGACTTACCATATGACCCAGGAATCCCGCTCCTGGGCATATATCCAGAAGGAACCCTACTTCAAAATGACACCTGCACCCCAATGTTCATAGCAGCACTATTTACATTAGCCAAGACATGGAAACAGCCTCAATGTCCATCAACAGATTGGATAAAGAAGATGTGGTATATTTATACAATGGAATACTACTCAGCCACAAAAACTGACAACATAATGCCATTTGCAGCAACATGGATGCTCCTGGAGAATGTCATTCCAAGTGAAGTAAGCCAGAAAGAGAAAGAAAAATACCATATGAGATCGCTCATATGTGGAATCTAAAAAAACCCAAAAAACATAAATACAAAACAGAAACAGACTCATAGACATAGAATACAAACTTGTGGTTGCCAAGGGGCGGGAGGTAGGAAGGGACAGACTGGGATTTTAAAATGTAGAATAGATAAACAAGATTATACTGTATAGCACAGGGAAATACATACAACATCTTGTGGTAGCTCACAGTGAAAAAAAAATGTGACAATGAATATATGTATGTTCATGTATAACTGAAAAATTGTGCTCTACACTGGAATTTGACACATTATAAAATGACTATTAATAAAAAATGTTAAAAATAAATAAAAATTTAAAAAATGATCTTTGGGAGTGGTGGGGTATGGCTCAGTGGTAGAGAGCATGCTTGGTGTACAAAAGGTCCTGGGTTCACTGCCCAGTGGCTCCGTGAAGGGGGTTAAAAAAAAGGGGGGGTCTTTTAGCAATATCTAAAGCATCTCATTTGATAGTCACTATAGCCCTGTGGGGCCATTACTGCTGTCACCGCTGTACCCCATTTTGAGGATTATATCATTTAGGAGCTAAAGCTGAAAAATCACAGTAGCAGAGTGACAGAATCAAGGCTGGGACTTTGGGAGTCTCTTGACTCCAAATTTCTTATTCTTTCCACTGTTAGGTTAAAAAAAAATGACACTCGATCACATTATTTATCTGCTCGCCACTGACGAGTGCAGAACCATGATTTAGTAAGCAAACAGACCTAATGTGCCTGGGCACATGGTGGCTCATGTGCAGATGCTGGGCAACGAGTTACTGGGTGGAAGACTGCTTGCCCTGCCAAAGCAGACAGCATTTGAAATCAATACGACTGCAGATGAGGACCAGCACCAACAGGAAACACCTAATTTTTTTCTTCCCTAATGGATCATCAACCTCAAATTCTCCAAAGCTAAATGTCTCACAAGTCCTCGCCAAAGTCTTATGGTTTCGCTTCCACCGTAAGTGAACCCTCCCCCCAGGTATGTTAATGCTTCAAATGGTTTCACTCTAAAGGGTTCTGCATTTTTCTCAGTATGATCACTCCTTTTCCACAAGAAGCCCAGCATTTAATGAACACTCTGGTGGACGAGCTCCCTGTTCTGCAGGGCACTTTACAAGCGTCACTTGCACAACAGTCCACACTCTCTGGAGTCATTCAGTCAGCAAATATTTATTATGGAAGTCTAAGAATGTGAAAAATATGAATACAAAAATAAGCAAAACAAAACAGAATCTCTGCCTCAAGCAGTCGAGTCCAGAGGAGAGCCTTTCAAGCAAACAATTACAATACAACTTGCCGATCAAGGGGGATACCAGCTCCTGTGTGTTGGGGAGTATCATGGAACACATACTAGAAGTAGAGTTTGCACTGAGACTTGAAGAATAAGGAGTTTGCCTAGAAGAGAGAGGAGGCAGCGTCCAGAAGCTTCGAGGTGGAGAGAATGCTGTAACAAAGGGGAAGAGCGAGCACAGGGAGCATCTGGGAAGCAGAAAACAGCCCCGAGTGGCTGCAGAGATCAGGATGGAGGAAAGAATTCCAAATGTGAAATCGGACAGGTGGCCAGGAACAAGTCCACAATGTGGACACTTCCCTGCAGGCAACAAATGAGTGAGGCGTTGCAGCAAGGTGAGCACACACCCTGCACAAAAGAACCCACAGGATACCTTCAAGGGAAGGCAAGGGCGCCTTCAAGGAGATAATCATACCCCAAGGACTGAATCAGCACCAGGTCCATTCTCAATTTCTCACCTGTGTCCAAGCCCCAGAGTAGGTTTCATGATACTTGTCTTAAAGTGTCCAGGCTGCTATAGCGAAACACACAGACTGAGTGGCTTATAAACGCCTCATAGTTCTGAGGCCAGGAAGTCCAGGATCAAGGCCCCGGGAGACTCAGTGTCTAGTGAGGGCCCACTTCCGCATAGACAGTCATCTTTTCACTGTGTCCTCACATGACAGATGGGACAAGGTAGCTACTTCCTCCAGAAGGGCACCAGTCCCACTTGTGAGGGCTCCACCCTCATGATCTAATCACACCCCAAAGTCCCACCTCCTCATACCATCACCTTGAGGGTTAGGATTGCAACATATGAATTGGAGGGGGGGGCCCACAAACATTCAGCCTGGAGCAATAATCAAGATAGATACTGCAGTAAGTGAAAGCTAAGAAGTGGATGTGTGCAGTTGTAAATATTTTCTGTCACTGGATTACTTCTTCATGGTCTGAGTCTCCAACGCTTTACCTTTCAGGTTGGGAAGGAAGAGGACAAACATCCAATGAATCTGAAGGAGACAGAGAGTCACGGCAAAGCAAGCTCTTAATATGGCAACACTACACAGCAAAGCCGATGAATGTTCTTCTATTCATTTATCAAGGTCTCTGGAGATGCTAATTGGCAGGATGCAAATGACCCCCTCGAAGAGTGTTGTTCTGGGGACCTCTCTGCCAGACATTAATAAGCATTGCTTCCCTGCCTCCCCTCCATCTGCCACTGCTCAACCAACCCTTCCCACCCGCCACCTCTCACCCTTCAGAGAAGGGAAGAGTCTGCAAGAGGTACATTTTCCCCACTGGCATCCTCCTCCAATGGGGCCCTGGGGAAGAGTCTGCAGAGATTAAAAAAAGAGAAGGGATTAATCTGTTCCCAAGAGAGGGCCTGCCTCAGCTGGCTGACAGCTTAATCTCCCCTGGGTTCCTGAACATTCCTTTTATTTGAACGTGCTGCCTTTTTATAAGGCACTGTTGAAAAGAAACAGAATTTTGGATAATTGGGCAGTAGCAGAGTCTTTTACAGCAAAACAGAGACAGTCTATTAATAGTATCTGTGATAAACACCATAGGGGACAGCCCATTAATTCTCAGCAACAGGCAGCATTTTGCCCTGTATCCTTTCCTTAATCCTCACTTCTTGATTCTTTTCCCACTGATTTTGATGGTAAAAAGAGAGGGGGAAATTGCCCCCATATGCATACCCATCCCGCCACAGAGCATTTTTGGGGTTCCAGAACCACCTAAATGTTGGGGTTTATATTAGAATTGGAGCCACCCACCTCATCCCTGACCCCGGGCCTCATCACCACAGCCCCCTCTCTTCTCAGAGCATCTCAGCAGTGATTTTTCCACGATTTTCCATGTCCCCCCTGAATCCTGTATTTCTCTCACCAGCCTGCATTTGTTGTCCCCACAAGGTGATTCCGAAGGCGGCAACTATGTCTCTATGCCATCCAGCCCAATGTCTGACACTCACAAGGTTGTAGCAGTTTCCATTGCTGCAGAACAAATGCCACACACTTAGCCACTAAGAACAGCATCTATCTGTTAACTCACATGTCTATAGGTTAGGCTCAGCTGGGTTCCCTGCTCTGGGTATCGCAAGGCTGAACACAAGGTGTCAGCTGGGCTGGGCTCTGGGGAAGAAGTCACTTCCAAGTTCATTGAGGTTGTTGGCAAAATTCAGTTTCTTACAGCTGTAAGATTAAAGTGCCTGTTTCCTTGCTGGCTGTCACCTAGGAGTCACTACTTGCTCCCAGACGCTGCTCTTTGGTCCTTGCACGTGACACCCTCCATCTTCAAGCTAGCAAAGGTGCATCAAGTCCTTCTTACGTTTTCAGTCTCTCTGATTCCCCCTCTTGCTCTCAGCCAGATAAAACTCTGATTTTAATGTGCTCATGTGATTCAACTAGGCTCACTCAGATGACTCCTTGTTAACTCTAAGTCACTGGCTAGTCACCTTAATGACACCTGCAAAATCCCTTTTGCCATGTAATGTAACACAGTTAGGGCATGGTATTGCATCGTATTCCCAGACCCTGGGACTAGGACAGGAAATGTTAGGGGATTTCTCCTACCGCAAGGAGCTCAGAATATACCCACGACCAAGGACTGTTGGAGGTAGTGGGATCGCCACCCGTACAGTTTCTGTCCCCCATCCTAAGCATGACAAATGCTGACCTGACCTCCCCACCTGCTGACAACTATGTCGACCTAACTAAGAGCCACAACCCCAATCTGGGCACCTCGCGTACATGGCAGAGGGAGCGGGATGTCCCCAACGCCCACAGCTGGTCACGTCTAGCAAGCCCGGGGCTTAGGTAACCAACAAGCTCATCAGTCACACTCAGGGACTTCGCTCTCCTAAATTGGGACCAAGATGGCTCGTGGTCTCTCACCCTTAAAAGACACCCATTTCTCCTCCCCAACCTCACCCCCTAGAGCTTAGACCTGGGCTGGATTGGGGTCCTTGCTTGACAGCTAAACGTTTCCACTCACTTTTCAAAATTCAGTTTCTTAGTCTTTTCTTTTGTTTTCTTTCTATGACCAGAGATGTCTCTGCTCCCTGACCTGATACCCTGTTACCCATTGCTGTGTCCTTTACCCTATGCCCATGGTCCCATCCTTCCCTTCTCCTCTCTTCTGCAGCTCCCGAAAGTCTTTTTTCTCCTCCTCCACCTACAGATATGAGAGTTGCCACTCTCCACCCCCTAAAGATGCCACTATTTCCCTTCCTGTTAACTATTCCTTCACTATTAACCACAAGACTAATTATGTCTCAGGTGCCTGGCACAGGGTAGCGATCGGTCTTTATCTTTTAGCTGAATGCATGAGTGAGTGAAAGAATGAACTGGTGAATTTGAGTCACCTAAGCTCTTCTAATCTATTATTCTTTAGGTCAGTCCCACAAAGCTGCCTTCTGGTTAGAGGATCATTCCTTCATTTACATATCCTCAGGAACACAAAGATAAATATGAATCGATATTTTCTTCTAGGCAGTTGAAGGTGCTCAGCAGAGGATCTGGGGCATTGCCCCTTGAGCAAGCTTTGCCAGCCCAAAGGTGGCTTTAAAATTCAGTATACAATTCAAGCCTACCGTCAGTGAGGGCTCCAGGTCTGCCAATCTAAGAGTGGTAAGATTCCTTTCTTTTGTGAAATACAGCATTCTCTTTGTTTTTTACTAAAATTGACACTTAGATTTGCTTCCCACCAGGTTTGAAGCTGGTGCCTGATGTGCTGGAAAATGCTTTGGAGCCCAGGGAGGGAATCCAATGCCCGGGGGCTGCCGGCCTGAATGGCGGCCTTGTTTCCAGGCCGTTCTCCTTTGTCTGCTGGGCTCTCAAATGACATGTTTGGACACAAAGCCTCTTAGGTAGAAATTACTACATTTGCAGGCGTTCCTAATTTGGAGCAAGGTTTATTATTTCAAAGTCTTTTTTCAAGATTAGACTTCAGTGAAGTCTTACAGCTGAGCTGTAACCCTCATTTGAAAATAGGATGATGTTTTTGAGTATTCTTGTCAATTTTCTCTTTTCCTCTCTGGAAGGGAGCCATCCTGCCTTGAAGCCAGGGTTTCACTTTCTCCCCATCGAGGTCATTTTCTTAACCTCTCAGGGAAATTTATCTTTAGGACTTTAAAAACCTTTCTGTGTAAAGGGAGCTCAGAAAACACAGGGCCCAGGAAAGTCAGAATCCTTGGGGAACTTGGGGAAAGAAAGGTTATTTTCCTAATGACTATTATTCTCCGGCTGGTAGATTAAGTGGTTCCTTAGCATCGGGGCAGGTGTGGGCCGAGAGCCCTGGGAGAATGGGAACCATGACCTTTATATTTGACAGCCAGTCTGCATTCCTCACACACCAACTGCATTACACTGTATTTTCTAATCTTCTGTATTCTTCATGCTCTAGCACCTGAGGCTTTGCGGGCTGGGGAGAGACCGCCCCTCCCAGGGCAGCCACTTCTTAGAGACTGCAAACTACTCACCCGGGAGGGCTCCTTTCATACGCAAACTAACCCAAAGCCTATATCAAAGCACCTCCCCCCAGTGGCTCTCACACACAGGAGGCAATATTTCTCTGCCCTAATCATTCCTAGGCCAGGTACCAAATGACTAGAGACAGCCCCCAGGGTAGGTTACAGAGCCCATGGAAATTGTCCAGACTAGCTAGTCCTAAACCTGTCTGCCCTGCCTACCCTGCAGCCACCATCCCTCCCCGGGAAAACCACAGCATAGGCTCTCATCCACACTCCCCCCTCACCCTTTCTGCTTCCTGCCCAACCCTGGCGCTTCCCCTGTGGCCCTGCAAGGAGTCATGTGCCTCCTGTTTCGAGGGAATCTGAGTAACAAACTCTCTCCTCAATGGCAGTCATCTCCCCCACCTTTTGGCCTCATCATCCCTGAATCAAAACAATACCGACATTTTTGTAAAACACCAACACTGCCAAGAGAGGGAGAGAGAGACAGAGACAGAGCGCTTGTAAAGTGATATCACGGCAGCCTCATTTTGCTGATGGACAACTAAGACTCAGAGAAGTTAATCACTCGTGCAAGGCCACAAAGCCACGTGAGCAGGCAATAAGGCCAAGATTAAAATTCAGTTTTGTGTCATTTACTACTCAATGCCAGTGTCAACCCCACCCCAATCTTTTTGTCCCAGCCCCTGCCATTTCCACCTCCCACTTTGTGTAGGAGCTTGTCTTGGGTTCTCTTGCAAAATAACTTGGCTGTTCAGCCAAGCCCCTAAAATATGAGATGAGGACTTAAGGCTTCCTTCTAGAGGTATTTCAGAGACTCAGTGTTTTTTCCTGAGTATCTGCCATATCCTTGTCTCTGCGCTACACACAGTGGGGAAGGAGGACACTCCTGAACTTGACCTGATTGTAAACTGGGGGCTAAACTGGGATCTACAACTAACCCACTGGGGAGCAAGATCAGATACCACAGGGGAGTATTCAGTCAGATGCCAAATTGTGTGCACAAAGTATACAAGTACAAAGAGTGGCGGGGGGCAGGGTACAGCTCAGTGGTAGAGAGTGCTTAGCATGCAGGAGGTCCTGGGTTCCATCCCCAGGACCTCCATCAAAGTAAATAAATAAATAAATCTAATTACTGCCCCCCCCACCAAAAAACCCACAAAAAAACAAGTAGAAAGAGTGGAGACCACTGAAGACCTCCTGGAATAGACAGAACTCAATGAGGACCTTGAAGGACAGGGAGCAGTTCAGCAAAGAAGAAGATTAAAAGATTTATTTTAGACAGTATGACAATTCCACAAAAAATTAAAAACAGAATTAAAAATCCAGCAACCCCACTTCTGGTTATACATCCAAAAGAACTGAAAGCAGAGACTCAAAAGAGGTATTTGCACACCCATGTTCATAGCAGCATTATTCACCACAGTCAAAAGGTGGAAGGAACCCAGGCATCCATCAATGGATGAATGATACCTATAGAATTATTATACACATTATATATCCTATAATAGAGAATTATTATTCAGGTAGGAAATTCTGACACATTTTACAACATGGATGAAGCCTGAAGACATTATGCTAAGTGAATAAGCCAGTCCCCAAAAGACCAATATTGTATGATTCCATTTATACGAGCTATCTAGAGTAGTTGAATTGAAGAGACAGAAACTGGAAACGGGGACAGGGAGAGAGGAAATGGAAAGTTATTGTTTAATAGGTACAAAGCTTTGGATTGGGATGATGAAAAAGTTCTGGAAATAGTGGTGATGGTTATTCAACACTGTGAATGTACTTAATGCTGTGAAGGAAAAGCCGGGCTGATCTAACAAGATAACTCACAAGTCTAGGAATGTGAAGGAGAGGCTGGGCTGGGCTAACAAGATAACTCACAAAACTAAGTATCGGAATACTGATCTGAGTTCTGCTGGACTAACTTGTAAATCTAAGTTAATTAGTATTGGTTTGCTGTTCATGTTTTT